GGTATCATGATAATTTAGCCAAAAGCCTTCCATCTAACTCCTCAAGCACCATTCCAGACATGGTCAGCAGTTTTGTTTCCCAAATGACTGATGGACTTGAAAATAGGAGCATTCATGGAGTGAGCACAAATGGGCACCTAATAGAACCTAATGGAGGGGGTAAGTTATCTTGGTTATATTTTACCATTGATAATTTTCACATAATTGCGTCACTTGTGGCAACTGAGATAGAGAAAGTAGCTATAATATTTAAGAGAACTCAATTGCTAGTATTCTTTTAAGGTGTTCAGTTGACTTATTAGCTGATTCATTCTCTCTAGTTTTTGGATCATCTGGTAATGGAAGCTGTTTTCTTCATGGAAATCATTATGCATGGAACAACTCCAACTCACATCAGCAGCACCCTTCAGGTGCCAGGATTTGGCCCAATTCGCCGTCTTTTGTCAATGGTGTTCAGCATATGCCTGCATTTCCTAGGGTACCTTCTGTCATGCTGAATGCAGCATCACCCGTACATCACTACACTGGGTCAGCACCACCAGTTAATTCACCATTATGGGCAGGTGACATGCCTATGCTGGGAAATCTCCTGACACCTCCAGTTTTCCCTTAGGATCTCTAGGGAATGTTGGATTTCCTGGTAGTTCTCCATCACACCCTGTTGAAATTGCTTCTCACAACATTTTCTCACATGCTGGTGGAAACAATGGTGTGGTATACTCTCCTCAGCAAATGTATCACCTTTTCCCTGGAAGAAACCCTGTGATATCCATGCAGGTTCTTTTGAGTCTCCCAATGAGCATGTGAGAAATTTCTGGCACCATAGAAATGAATTGAATTCTAATAGTGCTGATAAGAAACAATATGAGCTTGACATTGACTGCATCATATGTGGGGAAGGCAGCAGAACAACGCTGATGATAAAGAACATTCCAAACAAGTATGTGAATGATTTTCCTGTTACACCAGCTATTTTATTCTTTATTTACTTCATCTTCCATCTTTCTAGTTATACATTTGTCATTTGATTTTAATATTTCTCTTTATGTTGAAACCGTCATATGATGGAACATTTTTTCCTTCACTAAGGTCATGTCTGGTTATACATTCCTAACTTCATATGGAAATTTCTTAATTTTTAGCTTGTTTTCATAGTTTCACTTAGGAATAGCCAGCCCCACCAACCAAACAAGCCCTAAAGGATCTAGAACTTGTAGTTGTTGTGACTAGGACTAATAGCAATTGACTTTGAAATTACAATTGAAATTCCCTTAGTTTTGTTTATATTTTTTACAGTATTGTGTGAGTCATTTTAATGACCATGGTTTATAATGTTGTTAAAGTAAATCCAGTGTTGGTGGTGAATGATTGATAATTACGTCATATGTGATACCATACCAGTTGTTTGAGGCCCAAAAAAAAAAAGGCTGAAAAAAAAAATGATACCATTCTGTTATGGATACTTTTGCTTCTGCTTTCCCCTTTTTCCTTACCTATTTCTTTATCAATCTGATAGCCTTTTTTATGCAGGTATACCTCAAAGGTGCTTCTGGCTGCAATAGA